ACCAAGAACTAGAATCATTCGGGTTTAGCCGTCTTATGAGACGAACGCTAAACCTGAATGTTTCTAGTTCTTGGTCTAGTGTTAGTTCTAGTGACAATGCAAGTGTAAAACTAGAACTAACACTAGACCTAGAACTAGAATCATTCGGGTTTAGCCGTCTTGAGAGACGTGCGGCTAAACCCGAATGATTCTAGTTCGCGGTCTAGTGTTAGTTCTAGTAGCAGTGGTAGGTAGCGCTAGTTAGCATATGTTATATATTAACACATTGATTACTTAATCAATATAATATAAGTATTAGATTGAAATTCCTGCGATATTTCAAAAATATTTCCCAAATTTTAACTAAAAAATCATCTATTCTCATATTATAAAGATTTATGTATATTGCTTAACACATTAACTATAAAGTGTGATAGTTATAACCAAATTTCTTTTAATAACAGTTCTATAATGTCGGAATTTCCAAAATTAAACTTATTTATGCTTATATTAATGCAAAAAAAGGAAACAATTTGAAACTAATGTAATATTTATATCTATAAAAATTAGTAAACCATAAATTACTATTATTTATGAATATTCTCTTAACACATTGACTACTTAATCAATATAATATAAGATTTAGATAGAAATTTTTAAAATATCTCATAAATTTTTCTCACGATATTTCCAAAAATTGATCTATTTTGAAATCATCAAAAATTATTGATATAGCACGTAACACATTAACTGCTAAATATGAGAGTTATGCATAAATTTATTTTAGTAATGATTTTACAATGTCAAAATTTATAAAATTTAACTCATTTACGCCTATATTAATGAAAAAAAGTAAAATCTTCAATTTTATTTTAACACATTAACTACCCATTGAATGTTAAGATTTAATATCAGCAATAATCAATTAAATTTGAAGCAAATACGATATCTATATCTATACAAATTTAGTAAACGATAAATTATTATTATCTATGCATATTTTCTTAACACATTGATTACTTAATCAATATAATATAAGTGTTAGATTGAAATTTTTGTGATATTCTAAAAATATTTCTCAAAATTTATCTAAAAAATCATCTATTTTCAAATTATAAAGATTTATTTGTATATTGCTTAACACATTAACTATAAAGTGTAAGAGTTGTAAATTACTATTATTTATGAATATTTTCTTAACACATTGACTATTTAATCAATATAATATAAGATTTAGGTAGAAATTTTTAAAATATCTCATAAATTTTTCTCACAATATTTCCAAAAATTAATCTATTTTGAATTTATAAAGAGTTATTGATAAATTACTTAACACTTTAACTACCAACTATGAGAATTGTGTCCAAATTTATTTTAGTAACGATTTTACAATATCAAAATTTCCAAAATTTAACTCATTTAAGTTATATTAATAAAAAAATTAAATATAGTCCTCGATTTTTTGTTAACACATTGACTACCATATGTTAGAAACCCCTTAAATGAGTTATAATATGATTTTTAATAATTATTCAATCTCGGTAATTGAAAATTAAGGATTTATCCAACCCACATGTAGGTAGATAATTTGCTAAACATAACTTGGTATTATAATATGCATGACTTAGCTACACATAGATTATCACTTTTAACAAGCACCCTAGAAACTGAGAGTTCGGGATGTTCTTGTTACAATTTGAAATTGTCTACATAACACCTTTTTGGAGTCTTATCTAGCAATCTGTGCATATTTCAAATGATTATCCAAGATCATTTTATCTTACAAAACACTAAATTCCTGTAGAGCAGATGTGATGAAATGTCTAAGAAGCCACTCTCGGCCTAACAATACTAATTGCTTGGAAAAACGTCTTATTTAAACTACTTTTAGTTCTGTGACATGGTGTCCACGTTGGGATCACATGAAGTGGATGATTTTGAATAAAATTACTTTATCTACGACTGCTTGGATAAGTCATCATTACCGCACTCATTTGAGGTGATTTGAGTTACGTAATGAAGTTCATTACCGCACTGGTTTTATTACGTAACGCATTTTTAGCCTAATCAGAACAGACTTAATTTATTGAAACGAGCAACAATACAAAAGAAAAAGTGCTATCTACTTACAGAGAAACAATACTATTTATTATAAACATTAATTGTTATGTTTTTACATTTCGAAACACTTATTCCAGATGAGTAAATATGTTGTTGAAACTGACAATTCAAATTTGTCAACAATCATTTCAAAATATTTTTATAAATGTCAAATAGACTTTTTTAAAGAAATTGATTTTTTGGTAATTTTTAGCAGTCGTAGATAAAATGCTGTATATCATACGTGCGCTAGAGCATAATTACAGTACTCGTGTGATTACACGACTCGGTCTACAACCTCGTCGTGCAATTCTCCACACTCGTACAGTAACTATGTTTCTAGCCCACTTGTAATATAAATAACTATTAACATACGACTCAAATTAAAAACTGGACAAAAAAAATCACTTTCTACATCGATGCACACTTCACTACTTAGGTTGTATGACTGTTTTAGGTTCAGGGCTAAACCCAAAACTTCTAGTTCTAGGTCTAGTGTTGGTTCTAGTTTTAGACTAATACTATCATTAGAACTAATATAAGACCTACAACTAGAATCATTCGGGTTTAGCCGTCTTAAAAAACGTGCGGCTAAATCCGAACGATTCTAGTTCTCGGTCTAGTGTTAGTTCTAGTGACAGTGATAGGTAGCGTCAGTTAGCATAAGATATTACTATGGTATATATTCTTATTGAAGTAAAACTAGAACTAACACTAGACCTAGAACCAGAAATTTCGGGTTTAGCCGTGCGTCTAAAGACGCACGGCTAAACTCAAAACTTCTGGTTCTAGGTCTAGTGTTAGTTCTAGTTTTACACTAACACTATCACTAGAACTAACATAAAACCTGGAACTAGAATCATTCGGGTTTAGCCGTCTTGAGAGACGTGCGGCTAAACCCGAATGATTCCAGTTCTCGGTCTAGTGTTAGTTCTAGTGGCAGTGGTAGGTAGCGTTAGTTAGTATAAAATGGTATATATTTTTATTGAAGTAAAATTAGAACTAACACTAGACCTAGAACTAGAATCATTCGGGTTTAGCCATCTTGAGAGACGTGCGGCTAAACCCGAATGATTCTAGTTCTCAGTCTAGTGTTAGTTCTAGTTTTAATTGTTATGCAGCGCGAGTTCAATAAAAATCTAGCGCTGAATAACAATTAAAAGTAGAACTACCGTGCTTGATTTATACATCGTATAGACATCTCGGGGAATAACGCGAGTTGAATTTTCAAAAAATTTATATTATTTTGAGATAAGAAAAAGAAAATAAGTCCCGCCTATTCAACCAATCATAAGGTGCTTATAAAAAGTGTTAGGAGAAAAAAAAATAGTTTTGGCATTTTTGTATGTGATAAAAAAACGATTTTCTCACAATATCAATTTTATTATTGCGATTTTCGAATTTTCAACGTCATGAATGTTTGGACGCAGTGGACATGGGAAAATTCAGCTTGCGTCGTCATGGTTACGGTGGCACCGCTGCGGGATCGAACCCCGTCCGTGTCAGAGTTCCCACTCTTCAGTGTACATACGTCAGTTGGTGCGGCCCCCCGAGGCCACCCCTGGTACAGTCAACAACAAAAATTTCCCACAAATTTCATCCAGAAGAAAAAAATAAAATCAACCAAAATTTTATAAAAATTAATTGATGGTTAAAACACCTCCTCAACCTATAGTTAATTAAACAATATAGCCGAAGGAAAATAACATTAAACATACGATTTTTGTGACGTATAATAAAAAATTATGATTCAAAAAAATCTCTTTTTATTTATCTCCCTTTTTAATAAAGATAATAAAACACGCGTTCATATCATTCATATCGTTCTCAATCTCATCGAAACCACCCCCATTTTATCCTGCTTCTCACTCCCTTTGAAAACTCCTTTTCGGATCAATATCGCGCCCGTCTTCCACCCCATCGTAATCCACCTAGGAAAAATTCGCAATTAATTTCGGGGGAGCGAAGCACACAGTTGAGAGAAGAGGGTTTCGAAACAGCTTCGCTTTTCCACCCCCTGAACGACGGGGGTTATTCGAGCCATCGCAAGGGGGAGGGTGGGGTGTGCAGAACGCCACCACCACCACACAGATACGGCTAATGAAACCCCCGGGGACGCGCCGTTCCCCACACGACGGGGCGCCACGTCCAACGCCATGTTGCCCCTACGATCGCACTCCCGATTGGTCCGCCAACGGATGACAAATGACATTTTTTTACCCTCTCCCGCTCACTTCTCGCTCGCCCCCTTCGTCTTTTCCCTTCTCGTTGAGTAACCCCAAACCCGTAGAGACCCTTTTTCGAAACCAACCCGGGGGCCGAAAAAAAATACGTTGCTTCACCCACCCTAAGGGCTTCGGGGGTTTAAGGGGTGGAAAGAGAAGGACGCAAACGTTAAACGCACGCGGACACAAAAGAATTATGGTTGTTTAAAAAAATTAAAAAAGGGGATGTTTTTGGGTGTAAATAGGGGTTGAATAGAGTGATGACTAAACTAAGGTTTTTGAGTGTTACACTAAATTTTATTGTTAAATTGTTGTAATTGTTAAATTAACTCACTTTGAATTTTTTCCCACAATTTTTCATACAAAATTAGAATTGTATTGATGCTACAAATTTTGTTTTAAACGTTGAATGAATTCAAAAATTCATTTAAACATTATAATTGAATTAAAACAACATTATAAATATTAAGCAGTTTATATACAAATTTGAATGAAATTGCGTAACCGAAAATGGTACTTTATCTGAACGCGTTTTCCGCAGAAATCTCTTTAAATTGTGACAAGTTAATCAAAACTTGAATAAACCTTTATAATCACGATAAACATGTAAATAAAAAAATTCCATTTAAACCACGTAAAGAGAAGTGGTACTTTATCCGAACGCAATCACTCGTTTTTTCGTCAAAACAGTCACGATTCAAATGTTAATCCTTTAATTAAATGGTATAATCGTTTATAATCATTAAAAACGTTCATAAATAAACCTTTTAATCGAATTGCGAATGCGAAAGCGCCACTTAATCCGATCACCCGATTATAATTGTGTGATATTTTGTATAAAGTTGTGTTTAAAATGAAAATAATTAGAATTGTTTTCTAGTTACGATGAAATAATGAATTGAATAAATTATTTAAAATCCAATTCGTATAGTAAATATATTGTATATAATAAACTACGATGAACTTTGGTGTAATCTAAGTTGTTACTTTGTGTAGAGTATGTGTATAACGTAAGTTTTTTAATGTTTGCAAATTTTTTGTATTGCAGCGACCTTTATTTGAAACGAATTAACTTTGTCTTTTGGCCAATAGGTGGCGCCAGATCATTTGATTTCCTCAAAATGACATCAGTTCAATTTTTAAAATGTCCTCGAGTCATTCACATACACCCTCTGTATTCTTCTACATCTTATAAATCAACTTCCTTTTCGGACTTGACGATAGCCAGAGTCACTATTTACCATTTACTATGACATTTGATTTCCTCGAAATGACATCAGTTCAATTTTTGGAGTTACCATCTCTAGCAGTGTCTCAAAATGTCCTCTAGTCATTCACATACACCCTCTGTATTCTTCTACATCTTATAAATCACCTTCCTTTCCGGATTTGACGATAGCCAGAATCACTATTTACTACAACATTTGATTTCCTCAAAATGACATCAGTTCAATTTTTGGAATTACCATTTCTAGCAGTGTCTCAAAATGTCCTCTAGTCATTCGCATACCCCCTCTGTATTCTTTTATATCTTATAAATCAACTTCCTTTTCGGACTTGACGATAGCCAGAGTCACTGTTTAAAATTTGCTATGACATTTGATTTCCTCGAAATGACATCAGTACAATTTTCGGAGTTACCATTTCTAGCAGTGTCTCAAAATGTCCTCGAGTCATTCACATACACCCTCTGTATTCTTCTACATCTTATAAATCAACTTCCTTTTCGGACTTGACGATAGCTAGAGTGACTATTTACCATTTACTATGACATTTGATTTCCTCAAAATGACATCAGTTCAATTTTTGGAATTACCATTTCTAGCAGTGTCCCAAAATGTCCTCGAGTCATTCACATACAGCCTCTGTATGCGTTTACATCTTATAAATCAACTTAGTTTTCGGACTTGACGATAGCCAGAGTCACTATTTACCATTTACTATGACATTTGATTTACTCGAAATGATATTAGTTCAATTTTTGGAGTTACCATCTCTAGCAGTGTCTCAAAATCTCCTCTAGTCATTCACATACACCCTCTGTATTCTTCTACATCTTATAAATCAACTTCCTTTTCGGACTTGACGATAGCTAGAGTGACTATTTACCATTTACTATGACATTTGATTTCCTCAAAATGACATCAGTTCAATTTTTGGAATTACCATTTCTAGCAGTGTCCCAAAATGTCCTCGAGTCATTCACATACAGCCTCTGTATGCGTTTACATCTTATAAATCAACTTAGTTTTCGGACTTGACGATAGCCAGAGTCACTATTTACCATTTACTATGACATTTGATTTCCTCGAAATGACATCAGTTCAATTTTCGGAGTTACCATCTCTTGCAGTGTCTCAAAATGTCCTCGAGTCATTCACATACACCCTCTGTATTCTTCTACATCTTATAAATCAACTTCCTTTTCGGACTGGACGATAGTCAGAGTCACTATTTACTATGACATTTGATTTCTTCAAAATGACATCAGTTCAATTTTTAGAGTTACCATCTCTGGCAGTGTCTCAAAATATCTTCTAGTCATTCACATATACCCTCTGTATTCTTTTACATCTTATAAATCACCTTCCTTTTCGGACTTGACGATAGCCAGAGTCACTATTTACCATTTACTATGACATTTGATTTCCTCAAAATGACATCAGTTCAATTTTTGGAATTACCATTTCTAGCAGTGTCTCAAAATGTCCTCTAGTCATTCACATACCCCCTCTATATTCTTTTACATCTTATAAATCAACTTCCTTTTCGGATTTGACGATAGCCAGAGTCACTATTTACTATGACCTTCCATACCATACTATTTACAAGTTAAGTGGCCAAACTAAATTAGGCAAGATCATTTTGAATGTTGGGTTCGATTAGTTTTCTATTGTAATATCAATTATACCATGAAGTTAAATAAAATACAATATCAATTTAATCATAAAATATTCAAATATATTAAGCATCTTGCGCTAATAAACGCGTATGTTCTGTAATGTTGGTGTTTCTGTTATTGTATATCATACAGGAAAGAAGAAGTGAAAATAATGCTGTTACACACAGTGCCACCATCTAAAAAAATAACCAAAAATATTATTGAGTAAAAATTTTTTAATCACATTGTACCTCAACGCCTAATACACTTATAAAAGCGATGGCGATTACTTTACGATTTTCATCGTTTATAATAATTACGGAATCGTCATTTTCGGTTCGTAAGAAAAGTGTAACGCCTCCAATCACTTGACATACAATGACCACCACGGTACTAATTGCATGCTATTAAAATGAAAAAAAATATTATGATTGTAAAAAAGCGATTATAACAGATGTCTAACAACGTTAAGGACGAGATTTCGTTCTTGTTCTAATCCCCTCCAGCCTAATCCTGTTAAAAACATAACTATACATGCGTTGTAAAATAGGTAATATATAAGAAGTGTAGCTTTATTGATGACATCATTATTAGAGTTATAAAACATTCCGCCTATTACGCAGGCTAATATTACCATTGATAAGATGTTTAACTGCAAAAAAAATTTGGCATATTAGATCAATTTAATAAAAAATAATAAATCATACTTACCAGGGAAATTATTAGAGAACGGCGGAAGGTTTTTTTAACCATGTCAAAATCGCAACACATTTTTTTTATAAAAGAATATCAACAAAGTCTGAACACACTCAGTTTAATACTGGGAAAACCACAACATAAGATGAGTAAACGAATTATTTATCGTAGCATTAAATGACTCATTTATGAGTATACCGTATAACCAGAGCGCGGCGATGTTCAGAGGCGTCGCCGTAAGGTGACTTAGCGTGTATCACAGAACGAGATTTCATTTCTAGTACTCTTTCAGTATTGTACACAGGTGTATGGTTAGGTTTTGATTTATTTCTCACGCACATGTATGCCAGTTTCTTTTATTTCCGCTCTTTAACAGCATTTTTACATCACGAAGGACGTCATTTACGGAAAGAAATTTAGAAATGGTTGTTTCAGTTGCCGTAAATAGTCCCTATAAATTCGAAAATGACTAGCGTGTCCTATTTTTATCGTCGTAAGTCGCTAATATTACAGTTCACAGTTATAACCAGTGGGAACACCACGCCACTGTCTGCCATTGCCGAACAAGTTGTTTCGTGTATAACACAGAGGTTCTCAAACTAATTTCTTCTAAAAAACTTTTTTTATCCCAACTAGAAAACCGTTATGCAATTATTATTAGTACATTATATTCTAGTAATGAACTTTTGTTCAAATTAAAACAAATATTCCAATTTAAATCTGTCATTTAAAGAGCTGTATCGGATTTTATTGACTGTTTTGATGACATATTGCAATGATTAAGAGAGGCGTTTACTCAAATCCCTCGCAACCAAATGTTGCCGATGGATAACGCAATGTACAGCGACTACGCCTGGAACTTTATTTTTTAAATATGCTATCAACCGTTTATGACGCCCTGTCATATCCAGAGCGCTATGTTTACAAATTCCAATCAACCCAAGAAAGAATGTTGGGTACGGTTAGTTTTCTTTTGTAATATCAATAATACTGTGAAGGAGTGTTGAGTCAGGTTTGTTTTGTAATGTCAATTATACCCTGAAGTTGGATAAAATACAATCTCAATTTAATCATAAAATATATTAAGCATAACTACACATGCACTTTATTGAAGGCATCATTATTAGAGTTATTAAACATTCCGGCCATTAGGTAAGCTAATATTACTGTTGAACTAAAACTAGAACTACCACTAGAATCTTTCGGGTTTTGCCGTCCGTCTTTTAAGAAAAGTTTTGACGTTTCGGATGCCATTCTTCAGAAACTGGTTCGAAGTGACGAAAACTAATTAATAATCCATTAAAGCTAACTATTAACTAATTGCATCGCGTCCGGTGTGAGGCAGGAGGAGGTCTTCGTGTTCACCACCATCTTCCATGTTCTGCATAGCCCCCAGCCATTTTTTCTGTTGATGTTATTTCTATGTCGATGGATCTCTATGTCTTCTTTTGTCAGTCTTTGGTAGTATGTTTTGTCCCTAGCTAGCACCTATGTTTGATCGAAGTCTATTCGGTGTCCAATGTTCTGCCAATGATCTTCTTCAACCTTACATCCCTTTCATGCTCCTTGATGCGGCACTCAACGTTACGTCCAATTTGGTCAACGTATCCAAGTGGTTTTGTACTTACCGCGTCCTCCCTCTGCTTTCGCTGCTTGATAGCCCGGTTGATGTCCTTCGAAGTGTATCCGTTCTTCTGTAGCACGCCTCGTAGAAAGTGTTGCTCTTTCTTCAAGTTACCTTCTTCACACATTCTCGCTGCTCGCTTAATTAAAGTACGGATGACCCCCTCTTCTGTTGGGGATGATGATGTTGTATGAGTCTTCTTCCGATACACACCAAGATCCAAATCTCCATTTGTCGTCCTTGTGACCAACAGATCTAGGAATGGTAATTTTTCGGCAGTTTCTGTTTCCATGGTAAACTTAATCATAGGATGTTGAGAGTTCAAGTGACCACGTTGCCATATCACAAACGACTCACTACTAATTTAACTAGTAATTTTAGTTTAATTAACTAAATTTAATTAATTCATATTACCGTTGATAAGCGGTTTAACTGTAAAAAAAAATAAATCGTTTTCGATTTTTTTTTTATAAAAGAATAGAAAAAATAGAATAAACTATAACGTAAGATGAGTACAAACTAATGTACATAGCTAATACTCATATTTTATCATTAAAGAACTCATTCATGAGAATACCGTATAACACTACTAGATGGCGCCCCGAAATAGAATACTTCTTTATCATTATCGATAAATTTAATTATAATTTTATATTTATTTCTTATACACAGAAAAGAAATAATCTGTGCTTACTTCGATATCTGGACCATTAAATATTCCCGGAAAAATTGTTGAAATTCGTGAAACGGTGAAAAAGACACGAATTATAATAAATTCATAAAAAATCTCGAACTCGATTGTATTTTAGGATAAATAAGTACTTACTGCGATATCGGGAACAATTCCTTGTTAAAATTCGGGGAAACCAGCGAATTTCCTTGGAAAATTTCGGGAAATTCGGGAGCGATGTAAACCACAACAAACTTTTTAACCACTTTTTACAACATGGCGTCAAAAAAACAATTGAAAATCAAAATCTTTTGACGTCACATTTTAATTATTGCATTAATTTAAATAATTAAACATGTAAGATTAATTAAAAAAGCATAAAAAATCACCTAAACGCTTCGTTTATATTAACCAAACAAAATGGTTTTAATAAATAAAAAGTATTAAAAAAAATTAAAAATTAATTTTCAAAATAAATCGGATTTAATTAAATTTTTAACTCAAAATCGATTCGTTTCATCAATCCAAACTAAAATAAATCGTTAAAATAATTTTTTAAAAACGAAATTTAATAAAAATTAATTTGTTTTAAACGCAACATTTTTTTTTACACGGTTGGCACCTTTGAATGTTTTCGATCTAAACTCGCTGGGTTACTTAAAAAATTATTTATTATTTAATTATTTATCTTTTTACCAATTTACTAATTTTTTTATTAAGTAATATTGCGAAATGAGTGATTCATAAATTTGATTGTAATCCTTTTTTTTAGGCGGTGAATTTGACATTTGACAGAAACGTAACCTCACTTTTTTCGCAATGGTTTGGGAGGAAGTCCAAATCGCTTTAAGCGAAAAAAGACGCGAATTGGTGTTAACTGGAAGCGGAATTACCGAGAGAATAAAAAAAAGTGGCCTTGATACTAACATTTTTAATGTGACAACTTTGAATTACCTCAATATCAGCGAGACAATTCTAGAAAACCTCCCCGATGATGTTGGAAATTTGATAAATTTGCAAACTTTGGTGTTACACACCAATAAATTATCGAAAATAAACGAAAATGTATTCAAATTAGATAAGTTAAAGATGCTGGATTTATCGAATAACGTTATATTGGAGATTTCAGAAGCAATTTCTAACTTAACTCATTTAACGACTCTTAATCTTTCGATGAATAAGTTGGAGAATTTGCCGGATTTGGCTAAAAACGTTAAATTATCGAGTTTAGACGTTTCAAATAATAAATTGAAGTGTTTTAAAAGCGTTTGTTGTAAAGAATTGGGATTATTATCGGAATTAAAACTTCATGGAAATCAAATTGAGGTTATCCCAAATAAAATTAATGGGTTAATTTCGTTAAAAAACTTAGATTTGAGTTTAAATAAAATAAAAATCGTCCCTGGGGAAATCATTGATTGCAACAAAATCAAAGAGATCCAATTAAAGAGTAACCCAATTTCAGATAGGAGATTACAGAAATTAATTGATCAATGCCGCACAAAACAAATCCTCGATTATGTTAAACAACATTCAGAACGCACTTTAGAGGTTAATGTTGAAGAAAAAAACGTTGAGGAGGTGATTGAGGAAGACGACAACAGGAAAAAGTATAAAATTGTTATAAAACATTTTAATGATGGAATTAAAATCGTATCAGAAGAGAAAGTAAAGAATGTTAGGGGGTATATTTTGTGTTGTATCGTACATAACGTTGAATTCACCCCAGAAAGCTTCAAGAAATTCATCCAGTTACAAAATAAATTGCACCAAGAGATTTGCGATCAAAGAAATAACGCAACAATTGCAACTCATGATTTAACTTTAATTGTAAGTCAAAATAGCGCTTAATTTTTTTTAAATAATAAGTATTGATTGTTACAGAATCAACAAATAACCAACAACACATTAATTTATTCATCATGTCCCTCAAAAGATTTAAAAATAATCCCATTAAATCGAAAATCTTTAATGACAGGGAAAGAATTATTCGAAAAACTCCAAGCAGAAGCTGAAACACTTCGCAAAGAAAAGAAACGAAATAATTATTCGGGGATTCATAAATATTTGTATTTATTAAAAGGAAAACCCGAATATCCCTTTTTAAAAGTAAATGAAACCATCATTTCTTTTCCTCCAATAACTAATTCAGAAACAACTAAAATTTCGGTTAAAACCACCGCTATTTTCTTAGAAGTAACCAGTAATAAATCATTACAAATGTGTTGCGATGTTCTTGACGATTGTATTAAAGAATTCGTACAATTTTTCGAATTAAACTCGCTTACCATAGAACAGGTTAAAATCGTCGATGTCGAAGGGAACTTGAAAAGTGTTTATCCATCGAGGACGGATTTGAAATTTTCGGAGAGTTTTATTGAAGTTGTGAGAGATTAATTTTTATAAATTAAGAATAAAGTTTGATTTTTGTAAAAATTTTTTTTTTGACATAATCATATAACCTAAAAAAATTTTTTTTTAATTTAAATATTTATATATTTATTTCTGTAGGAAATTAAATTAACTTTTTGGCAATAACGTGTTATTTAACAATTATTATTTCTATTTGTTATTTATTGTAATGATTTTAAATAAATATCAAAAATTAAATGAACGTTGTTGCGCCATCTATTGACGCTCCAAAAATTTGTACTTTTAGTAGTTAAATCGAAATAAATTTAATTTTTTCTTATAATTACTATAATTGTTTTATAATTATTGATTAAATTTAATTGTTATTAATAAATTGTTATAATTAAAATAAGTTTTAAAAAAGAAACTAACCTGGAATGAAGGAGTCGATTAGCGCCATCTGGTGGTGATTTTTAATTTAATAATTAATCGATATTTCTGTAGGAAATTAATTTAATTTTTTGTTAATAACTTGTTATTTAATAATTATTATTAATATTTTTTATTTATTTTAATAATTCTAAATAATTATGATAAATTAAATGAACGTTGTTAGCCCCATATATTGACGCTTCAAAAAATTTCTTCTTTTAGAGGATAAATCAAAATAAATTTAATCTTTTTCTTAAAATAATTATAATTCATTGTTTTCTAATTGTTGTTTAAACTTAATTGTTATTAATAATTTATTATAATTAAAGTAAATTTAAAAAAAATAAACGTTGTTAGTCATCTATTGACGTTTAAAAAATGTCAACTTTTGAGGTTAAATCAAAATAAGATTTAATTTTTTGTTAAAATTACTAAAATTGTTGCAAAATCGTCGATTTTTAAAAAAAGAAAGTGTACAATAACGTGTATTTAATTGATATTTATTTACCTTACAATTCTAAAAAAATTATTTATAGGATTTACAACATTTTTCCCCACTCGACTGCAGCTTTATTCGTGTTATCACAAAGTTTTCTCCTTTTTTCACAATAACAAATGAACCCATCATTAAAGATCAATAAAGATTAAATAATAACGTTTAAAAATTACATTTTTTTTGTTTTAAGTAGAAAGGCACAAAAAATTTTCTTCCCCAAACTGTTTAGCGTTCAAATTAAAAAAAGAGACTAATATTGTAAGTTTTTTTTTATTCGCTAGCAGCAGTGGATTGCGGTGTTTATTATTTTTTTTTTAACTGTAACTCCCCGGAAAGAAACCCGATTTTAATCCGCCGGTCTTCTCTCACCGTGTTTCTTTGTATATTCTTCGGCGTTCTTTGAAAATTTCTTTTTGTCTTTCAAATATTCTTCTGCTAAATCCGCTCTGAGTGGGTGTTCAGGTTCCGGTTCATTCACTAAAGCTACTAAAGCTTGAACCACTATTAAAATAAATAAAATAATTAATTAAGAGTGGATTAACTCCAATTAATTGGGTTAACCTTGTTCGGTTTTCGTAGCAGGTTTCCAATTTTCCGCACTGATTATTGGCAAACAAACTTGCCCCTTCTCATCGATATTTGGGTGATAAATTTTCGTTTTAAAACTAATTTTAGGTGGCTTAAAAGGATATTCAGCAGGAAAATTGATTTCGATTTTAAATGCTCCTTTATTATACGGTGCGTTATCCTAAAATCAATCCATTTAACCCAAATTATCTTAATTAATCAACACTTACTGGTACAATAAGTCCTTGCCAAGTAAGTATATTGCTCTCGTCGACTTGAATATCCCTGAACGATTTCAAACCAGAGTTCCGAATATCGCCCAACTCCTAAAATAATAAAAAATTAGTTGACATAACCTCAAAAAATTTTCCTCCAAACTTAATTACACCAAAACAAAACGTTCTTAATCAACAATTTAACTCGAAATATCTTAATTAAAACGTGTCACCACCAAAAAACCTCGTTTTAATCATAAAAAAAAATAATAAACGATGACAATCGCTTTTCGCGATGTAATTTTCGTCGATCCCAACCAAACCAAGCGCGATTTTAACGCGATTTTTTCACCCCCCGATGCAGAAAACCTTCTTTTACAATCCGAAACGGTTCGGAGCGAAATAAACGGTTATTATCACGCAGAAAACTCACCTTTTGCAATCGTCTCGTGGCGGCCATTTTGAAAATTAATGATGATATCGAAGCGAAAAGCCGTTTTTCGCGGGGAAATTCTAACGGGAAAGAGTTTCGCGCTACACTAAACGCTATACTAACAATTTGTTCGAAATAAACGCGCAATCCGCTAATTTATAAGCTTTATTGGAGGTTTTGTATAGTAGATTTGACAACTATTTTGACACATACCCCACCTGGTGGGAGGTTATGGGTGATTCATCTTTTATCTTTATTTTTATAAAAATAATCTTATTTTAATTTTTTTTTTTGGTTTATCGCTTTAAAAGAGATAAAAATTAAAATAAATTTATTAAATTAATTAGGATTAATAAAAAAAAATTTAGGAAGTTTGGTGCCAGAGTTGCCAACCCTACCGATATAAAAGATAGTCTACCGATATACCACTTAATTTACGGAATTTAAAAATTTTAATAAAGTATTATGAAACACATCGTACTTAAAATCAATACAATTGCGACTTATATTATTATTTTACTTATATTGCATAAAAGCACATACCAACGATATGGCAATGTCGCTCAAGCAACGTTGCCAGATCGTTGGTATATACAGTACGCGTCATAAGTGCCTAATTTGAAAACAGTTCAAAATATAATATTGTCAAAATAGATATTGATCAATCGATATTGATTCTCAAGTGTTATCTTTAATAACTTGAAAGAGCAACAAATTCATACAATTTTCATATTTATCTCGATATTGACGTATCTAAGAACAAAAGTGCAAGAGAGCAATATTGTTAAGAATAAAATTTGCAACAATTTTTGTTATAACAGTTTTCTTATAGCAAGCTCCGATTCTCAAGCGTTACCTTTAATAACTTGAAAGAGTAACAAATTCATACAATTTTCATATTTATCTCGATATTGACGTATCTAAGAGCAAAATTGTTAGAGAGCAATATTGTTGATAATAAAATTTGCAACAATTTTTGTTATAAAAGTTTTCTTATAGCAAGCTCCGATTCTTAAGCGTTACCTTTAATAGTTTGAAAGAGTAACAAATTCATACAATTTTCATATTTATCTCGATATTGACGCATCTAAGAGCAAAAGTGTAAGAGAGCAATATTGTTAATAATAAAATTTGCAACAATTTTTGTTATAACAATTTTCTTATTGCAAGTTCTGATTCTCAAGTGTTACCTTTAATAACTTAAAAGAGCAACAAATTCATACAATTTTCATATTTATCTCGATATTGACGTATCTAAGAGCAAAAGTGCAAGAGAGCAATATTGTTAAGAATAAAATTTGCAACAATTTTTGTTATAAAAGTTTTCTTATAGCAAGCTCCAATTCTCAAGTGTTACCTTTAATAACTTGAAATAGCAACAAATTCATAAAATTTTCATATTTATCTCGATATTGACGTATCTAAGAACAAAAGTGTAAGAGAGCAATATTGTTCATAATAAAATTTGCAGCAATTTTTGTTATAACAATTTTCTTATAGCAAGCTCCGATTCTTAAGTGTTACCTTTAATAACTTAAAAGAGCAACAAATTCATACAATTTTCATATTTATCTCGATATTGACGTATCTAAGAGCAAAAGTGCAAGAGAGCAATATTGTTAAGAATAAAATTTGCAACAATTTTTGTTATAAAAGTTTTCTTATAGCAAGCTCCAATTCTCAAGTGTTACCTTTAATAACTTAAAAGAGCAACAAATTCATACAATTTTCATATTTATCTCGATATTGACGTATCTAAGAACAAAAGTGCAAGAGAGCAATATTGTTAAGAATAAAATTTGCAACAATTTTTGTTATAAAAGTTTTCTTATAGCAAGCTCAAATTCTCAAGTGTTACCTTTAATAACTTAAAAGAGCAACAAATTCATACAATTTTCATATTTATCTCGATATTGGCGTATCTAAGAACAAAAGTGAAAGAGAGCAATATTGTTAATAATAAAATTTGCAACATTTCTAACTTTGTATTTAAACCAACCGATTTTTTACCATTTAGTCGACATAGGTTGGCAACGCTGATTGGTGCTAACTTCATTTTTGACTTTGACAGGTATTTGTTGTTATTTTTGTTAACGCAAATAAAGTCGTTTAAATCCGACTTTTTTATTAGTTAATTTATGAATTAATCTAATTTTGACATGGTGTAACTCATTATTTTAAGCATGGTAAAAATCGGATGTGATTTATAAAAATTAAAAAGAAAATCATAACCTCACTTTTTTTAGATATCGTTTTAAGCGAAAATAATAATATTTGAAGCAAGAAATGGATGAGAATCAATTAAAGGATGTTTTAAAAAGTCGTTTCAATTTCAACACCTTCAAATCGAACCTCCAAAGAGATGCAATCATTAAAATCGTTCAAGAAAAAGCGGACGTTTTGGTTTCGATGCCTACGGGCTCGGGAAAATCGCTTTGTTACCAACTCCCCGCCGTGTTAAAAGAGAGGCAAACAACGTTGGTGTTTTCGCCGCTTTTAGCGTTAATAAAAGACCAAATCGATCATTTAAAAGCGATTAAAATCCGAGCGGCGTCTTTAAACTCAAAAACTTTAAAAGGAGAGCGCGAAACGATTTTAACTGATCTAAAAAGTGTCTCACCTAACATTAAGTTATTGTATATAACCCCTGAGCAGGCTTCAACTCAAACTTTTAAGGAGTTATTTCAAAATTTGGTTAAATTCGATAAAATTGCATATATTGTAGTTGATGAAGCGCATTGTGTGAGCGAATGGGGGCACGATTTTCGGCCGGATTACCTCAAATTAGGCGAATTAAGGAAGGGGAATGAGATCCCTTTTGTTGCTTTAACCGCGACGGCCGGGGCGGAAGTCACAAAAGACATTATTTATAACCTAAAGTTATCAAAGAATTTAAAAATATTTAAATCGTCGTCGTTTCGCGAAAATTTATTTTACGACGTCTTTTTTATCAACATCCTCGACGATCCTTACTTGCATTTAAAACAATTTATCGAAAAACATTTATATTTTGATAAAGAAATTGACGTGGAGAATAAAAAAAAATCTTGCGGGATCATTTATTGCAGAACTCGCGATCAAACCGAGGTTTTATCGACGAAATTAAATTCTTTAGGGGTGAAATCGACGGTTTATCACGCTGGGTTAAACCATAAGAATCGAATTGAGTGCCAAGAATCGTGGCAAAGCGGTTGCGTTCAAGTTATTTGCGCCACAATTAGTTTTGGGATGGGAGTTGATAAAGCGTCGGTGCGTTTCGTGGTTCATTGGGGGGTCCCAAAGGATCCCGCGTCTTATTACCAAGAATCCGGGAGAGCTGGACGCGATGGAAAAAACTCGTTCTGTCGATTATATTATAACCGCTCCGATCGAAAAGCCGTCGAATTCTTAATAACCCAAGAACTCGGGAGATCCAAAGATAAAAAACAACGCGAGAATAAAGCCAAAAACGCGATGAAATCGTTCGCAAAAATCGTAGAATTTTGCGAATCCCCAAACGAGTGTCGCCATAAATTATTTGCAAAACACTTTGGGGATGATTTTAAACGATGTAAAACTAAATGCGACATTTGCGTTGATCCTAAAAAGGTCGAAAAAATGGTTGAGTTATATCTAACCAAAAGCATTCAATTTAATTCGCTCCCCCAAGACATTAATGATATGAATTATGACGACCTTTATGAGGGCGGGCGAAAAGCTGCTGATAATTACGATAATAACGAAAACGATGAACGTAACATTTACGAAGAAAAAGCCAAAAAAGAAACTACCGAGCTAATTAGGAAACAATTTCAACTAAGGCGGAGTGCCCAAGAAGTATCAAAAGACACCATCGATAAGTTATTCGCGAAAAATTCTAAAGTTCAAGCGGCCGGGTCGACGAAAACTAAAGTTAAAGGGCTCACAATCGCAGCTAGGGAGCAATACTTTTCGAAAATCACCGAGGTTTTGATCGAAAATTATAATCAATGCGTTGAGGAGAAAGTTCTTGATGCAATCGATATTGAGGAATGTACCAAGGAATTAGAATACTCTACTTTTACCTCGGTTACGACGCTAATGATGTATCGAAACGCTTCAGCTAAATTGGTAAGTAAATGCTTTTCTCGAAATTGACGCATTTGAGAGCAAAAATGATAAGATTAGGTACAACTTTCGTTCGAAAAGTTTTTTTGTAACATCATTAGATTCCCGAATACTACCACGACGAAGTAGTAAAATAACGAAATTCATCAAATTGTCATATTTTCGTATCTATCTCGATATTGACGCATCTGAGAGCAAAAATGAAAGAGAGCAATATTGTTAAGAATGAAATTAGCTACAACTTTTGTTCTAAAAGTTTTTTTGTAATATCCTTCGATTTCCAAATACTACCATTACGTAGTAGTAAAATAACGAAATTCATCAAATGTTCATATTTTGGTATATTTCTCGATATTGACGCATCTGAGAGCAAAAATGAAAGAGAGCAATATTGTTAAGAATGAAATTTGCTACAACTTTTGTTCTAAAAGTTTTTTTGTAAAATGATCCGATTCCCGAATACTACCATTGCGAAGTTGTAAAATAACGAAATTCATCAAATTTGCATATTTTCGTATCTTTCTCGATATTGACGCATCTGAGAGCAAAAATGAAAGAGAGCAATATTGTTAAGAATGAAATTAGCTACAACTTTTGTTCTAAAAGTTTTTTTGTAATATCCTTTGATTTCTAAATACTACCATTACGAAGTTGTAAAATAACGAAATTCATCAAATTTTCATATTTTTGTATCTTTCTCGATATTGACGCATCTGAGAGCAAAAATGAAAGAGAGCAATATTGTTAAGAATGAAATTAGCTACAACTTTTGTTCTAAAAGTTTTTTTGTAATATCCTTTGATTTCTAAATACTACCATTACGAAGTTGTAAAATAACGAAATTCATCAAATTTTCATATTTTTGTATCTTTCTCGATATTGACGCATCTGAGAGCAAAAATGAAAGGGAGCAATATTGTTAAGAATGAAATTAGCTACAACTTTTGTTCTAAAAGTTTTTTTGTAATATCCTTCGATTTCCAAATACTACCATTACGAAGTAGTAAAATAACGAAATTCATCAAATTTTCATATTTTTGTATCTTTCTCGATATTGACGCATCTGAGAGCAAAAATGAAAGAGAGCAATATTGTTAAGAATGAAATTAGCTACAACTTTTGTTCTAAAAGTTTTTTTGTAATATCCTTTGATTTCTAAATACTACCATTACGAAGTTGTAAAATAACGAAATTCATCAAATTTTCATATTTTTGTATCTATCTCGATATTGACGCATCTGAGAGCAAAAATGAAAGAGAGCAATATTGCTAAGAATAAGATTAGCTACAACTTTCGTTCGAAAAGTTTTTTTGTAACATGATTAGATTCCCGAATACTACCATTACGAAGTAGTAAAATAACGAAATTCATCAAATTTTCATATTTTCGTAACTATCTCGATATTGACGCATCTGAGAGCAAAAATGAAAGAGAGCAATATTGCTAAGAATAAGATTAGTTACAACTTTCGTTCGAAAAGTTTTTTTGTAACATGATCCGATTCGGTAAATGTTAGATATAACCTCAAAATTTTTCAAATTCATAAAAGCCACATTTCTATGATTGTTTTTTTGTTTCTAATTAATAAAAGGGAAACTTTAAGTGTTAATAATAATTAGATCTACGTTGATTTCGCTTTATTATCCTAAAATAAATCGATTAATAATTAATTTTTGACAACTAGTCGGTAATGAAGTTATCTACTTTCAAGGTCACTTTAAATTAGTTCAATTCTGTTTGTGTTTTGTATATTAATTAAATGTTAATACATTTAGAGCTATTTTTAGATTTCAAACATAAAATGTTGTACTCAAGAAAATCTTCTTTACGATATCTTTGAAAATTTCCAACCGCAACCAAAAAAACTTGAAACTTTATCTGATTTTTTTCGAAATAGTTCCAAAATGAATTTATTAAAACTAAATGAGCTAGATTTAAATAAAACTAAAAATATAAAGGAAATAAAAAATGATTTAAAATGCGAAAATAGAAACGTCAATAATGAAGTTGGCGTTATTAAAGATGTCGATAAAACAGATTTGGTTAGGGTTGATAAAATTGAGGTTAAGTCAACTTTCGATGGATTTAAACGAGCTAGTGAACTATTTAAAGTAAAATCGAATGAAAACGTGTTAAATTCATCGATAAAAGTCGACGATGAAACGGAACGTGTGAAAGAAAATCAAGAAATGGATAAAAATAAAATTAAAAATGATGATGGTGGTAAAATGGTGATCTCCGATAATACAAGACAAGTTATTGAGGAACGTTACGAGAATTTCGAACAAATCATTCGCGATTCGAAACGAATGATGGACGAGATGAGTGAAAGAATGGTCGATAAAAATAACGTTAAAAAAGACGATGGGGCGAAGAAAAAAGGGAGGGTTAAAGATCATAAACAACCGGAGAAAAGTAACAAATCAATTTCAAAGTTATTCGGTGATGATAGCGAGGAGGAGGAGGGTGTTAAGAAAGATGTTGTGAAAAGAAAAGTGGAACTCGATGACGATGAAAAAGGAAAAAGAAAAAAATTGAAACGAAACGATGATATTAAAAAAGACGGAGAAAATAAATCTGGGAAATTAAAAAAGAACGAAATCGGGCTGTTGGTCGTTAAATTATTAACACCGGCGTATACGGAGAAACGATTCGATTCGAAAGAAACGTTTAAAAGTATGGCTCGAACAATATCTCATTCGCTTTTAGATAAAGGTTTGTATTATTTATTTAAATAAGATTTTCGTAATCGTTTTATTTTTATAGATGAATCGGAAATAAAACGATTCGTCGCCGATTTTCTTTCGAAAAATGAGGAAATCACAACAGCAACAACTTTATAATACAATAGATCGTAATTATTTCTTCTTTCTTTTAAATCATATTATTAATATTCTCATCTATTAATTGATTTGTTAATCTTGAGTCAACATTGTACATTATTAAGATTAAAATAGCATTAAGCTAGCATCTAGCTACGTTTAAAACTTAAATATTCATTTAATGTAATTAGTCATTTACATTTTATTCCTTCAAGTCCTAAATCCTATTGATATATACGTTGAGAATATAATAAAATTGATTTTAAACTAATTATAAGGAAGAAAATAAGAATATAACCTCAAAAATCAAAACGTCAAAGTAGAAATGTCAAAAATGACGTTTAAATTTTAAATGAAGTAAAAAATTTATTGATACTTTTTTTATTAAATAATGGGATAAACACCGTTTAAACAGGATTATAGCGTTGTTTTCGAATGAAATTCACTATGATTTTATTAAATCTACAAGTAATTATTGTTATTTTTGGTCTTAAAAAGTGAACGGTAAAGTAGAACGCGATTTTATCATTTCGAATTTTCTTTAAGGCTCTTCAAATTTTAATTAATTATTTTTGTGTCACTTTTTTTAACCATTACAGATCGGTAATACTTAAGGCAGTTGTTAATTTATTTATTTATTCTCATTAAATTAATTAAAACGACTAGGAAAATTAAACGTCAAAAATGATAGTTGTCATATTTGACAACTGAGTTTGAGTTTATTGGATTTATCTTATTATTAATTCTGGAGTGCGATCTTGGAGTTCTTGTTTGAGCCATCTTTGCCCTAATAATAATATAATTGATTTTAAGCAGTTAAGGAAAAAATCAAAACGTCAAAATCAAGGTTATCCAACTCTATAATATATGAACGTATCCCACCGCAAAGACCTTGCTGTGACGTCATTGGAAGAATTGACATTTCTATGTTTTTATTTACTCAGTATATTTCACTTAAGAAGCAATACACAAAAATATAAAGATATTAAAAAAAAAATGCGAGATAATCGTAAAGAATTCGAATTGTTTTAAAATTAATAAAAATTGGGTTAGAATTGATAAAAAAATCGAAATAAAATTTTATTATTTTAAGGTTATCCAACTTGACTCGGTTACCATGGCGATTAAGATCCAAATATTGCAGTGCTTGTCAAAATTGACGTTGAATTTAAGTTTTTTTGAATGAAAAACATAATTAATTGGATTTAAAGGTTGTATTTAATTCAAAATGGGTAAATGGATGAAATTATAAGCAAAGTAAGTGGATTAAATCAAAAAATAATACTTAAATCCTGTATAAGATACTCCTAACTCGAAAACGAAAAACGCTAGGTACTTACAATTAAAGGGTGTAATAAAAACTATAGCATTCCATTTAAAATAACGAAGTTATGGTCTACTTCCGGTAGACCGGAAGTGGCGGCCATCTTGAAAATATTTTAGATCTAAAGTTCCGAATGAACCACCCATGCTACCAAAATTTCAAACCTCCACGAATAGTGGAACCCGAAAAAGTTCTAACGAACCAGTTACGTGGCATTTTAAATCTGAAGTTAGCCATCATACAATAGACAAATGGACAACTTCATGGTATTCTTTATTAAAAAACCTTTGAAATGATTTCAAACATGATGCATTTATCTCGAAAAACAACAAAGTTGTAATAAAAAATATTAAAGTTGGCAACATTGAAATTAGCAACCTAATTTTTAAATATTAATACCAACCTTAATTCTTCATTTTTTTATTGTATTTTTGTTTTTGTGAAAAATTTTAAGACATTTTATAAAAATTAAGAATATGTCAAAATGACATTGACATTTCAACCCGGAAGTTGTTTATATCTCGACTAATATTGGAATTAAACGTATCATGTTTGGGCTCATTTTAAAGGATTTTTCACGCCGATTACAAATATGTCAAAATTGACGTTGACATTCTTAACCGAAAGTTGACCATAACTTCTTTAATATTGAAGATAAATATGTCGTGCTTGTACTCATTTTAAAGGATTTTTAATGAAGATTACAAATATGTCAAAATTGAGGTTGACATTTTAAATCTGAAGTCAGATATCATGTAATAGAAGTTTTATAACT